GCTGCAGGCGAGGCAGCAGGAACATTTAATAAGTTCTGAAAATTCGTAAGTTTCGATAAATTAAAGACATTTTCATTAACTTCTGTTAAAATTACAAAAAAAACCCGGAAATTTCTGAAAAGTCCAGCGAACTCCAATGAACTTAAGGAAACATCATAAATATTTTGGAAACTTCACAAGTCCAAAGAACTTCAGGGAAATTTAATGGTTTTCAGGAACTTTAGTGAAGCCATTTCCATGAAATTGCTGAAATTATAAAGGAGTTCCGAGAAACTCAGGCAATTTCCGAAAACTTCAGCAATATCCTGAGAGGCTCATGCAAATTTGGTTAGAACAGTTTATGGGAAGTTCTATGCTTTTTAATGGCAGTGTCGATAAATTTTAAAATTAAAAAAAAAAATCGGGAAGATCAGAGAACTTCAATGCTTATGTTACAATAAAATCAAGAAAATTGTGAGAGCACTTAAGAGATTTCGTAATCTTCAAGAAAGTCCAAAGAACTTCAAAGGTGATTAGAGATATTCCGGTAGTCTTATTATAATCAGGGATGTTCCGAGTACTTCAAGGATGACCAGAGAACTCCAAAACAGCCCCTAATTTCAGAAAAATTACAAGAACTTTTAAGGAATTTCGAAGAATTATGGAATATTCAGGAATGATCCGAAAACTTCAGGGAAACTGCGGAGTCTTCAGGGATGATTTATGAATATCAGGAAAATTTTCTGGATCATTAGCACATCCCCCAGGAATCTCTTTGTTCCGGAATTATGTCCTTGTTTCTTTCGACTGTTTCGTAAGTGCTCTGGCTTCTAACTTTCTTCAGATGTTTCTTCCAATCTACCTTAGGAAGTTTCTGCCAGCATCTCCAGGAAGTTTGTTTCGCCTTCTCCAGGAAGTTCAATTGATTCTCCCAGAAATTTCTTTTGTCTTCTTCTGGAAGTTTGACCATAAGCCAAAGATTTTTTTGTTCGACTTCTATTTGATGGTTTTTTTGAGCTTCTTCTGTCTGGAAATGGCTACTTCTGGAAATTTACTTCCGATTTCCGAAACTTTTCTGGCTGCCTTTGGATGTGACATCCGATTTTTTCCCGATAGTTTATTAAAATTTTCATAACAAGTTTCTCAATTCGTGTCTTGGAAGTTTCCCGGATGATTTTCCAACTTTTCTTATAACTTTCCTTGAACTTCATCCAGGAGAGCTTCTTTCGTCTTTCTCTGGATGTTTTTTTTTCAGCTACGTTCAGAAGCTAATTCAAACATTCCCCGGAGTTTTCTTCCTGAATTTTCCGATCATAGTTCAAAAGTTAAAATTTTGATTTGATTAACGGCTTTCTCAGTCTTCTTTTCAAGGAAAAATATTGTTTGTCGTTATTGTCAATAGTTTAGTCGTTATTGTGGCTGATTTTCCATATTTTGGTTTCATTTAATGATATTTAATTGAAAAAAACTACTTGGCCGCAATTTCGATCACCACTTGAAAACAACGATAAATTTAAAAATTAAATAAAAAAATAATAGAGTGTTTTAAGACTGAGAAAGCCGTTAAATAAAAGAATTCCCCTCAAGTCCTAGTCGTCACCATCGTTAAAATTTTAGCTTAAAAAACGGCAAAAATATAAAATTAATTAAATAGGGGAATTTACGTATTCTCGGCAACCTAAGCAGCGACCTTCTTTCTATAGCCTTTTTCTATATGGAACGCACACATATGCAGTATTGGTTTGTTTACAATCTTTTGCTGCCAGCTGCTCTAACAATTTCAGTCGAAAGAATTGTCAAAAACTGTTTTGAAACGCTTTTACAAAGCTCCAATCTTCTCTAGTGAGAGCGAGTATTGTCGGCAACTAGTTTTTCTTCGGCAACCGTTCCATTTGAACTGCATGTAAATCTGCTGATAAGGTTCTGCTTATAGCATGTAAAGGAATGAGGTTCTGCTTACAGCATGTGTCCCATAAGCGCAAGTAACACATGTTTTTCGTATATCCAGTTTGCAGACCGCATAATAACGTAACAACCTTAAGGTCTGCACAAATACGTCACTGATGATCGTTGTACTTGTTTTTTTCCTTTGATTTGTTTTTTCCGTCGATCTTGTTTTCCGTGCTGAGCACCAATGCTACCAACGTGCCAGGAAGGCAGCTCCCACACCTGGACCCTACCTATCGACCCATCAACTCATGAACCGGGGACCAACGGCTTTACTTCCCATCCGAAGGAAGGCGTGATCAGAGATGTTATGCCTCAGAACATCCCGGCGGCGCCGACTGGGATTGAACCCAGGCCTGCTGGGGTGAGAGGTAATCATGCTTACCACTACACCACCGGCGCCGTTAACTCGTTGTACTTAACTGCATCTAAAATCTGTTTAAGACTATCGTAGGTTTCTTTTTTGTATTGTAGGTGCTTTGGAACAGGAATAGCTTCCGAATTCGGCATTGGAATTTAAGCTGATGATACTTCTTTATAGGTGACATTATCTCTCGAACGTTTGTTGTGGCCCAACACTTTATTTACGCATACATAACAGTTCACTGCATTGTGGATGTCCAGGTCGCTCCATATCATCGGAACTCCAAATGATAAATGCACAGCTCTCCCGCATGCCCATTATCTCAAGCTATTGTCTTACGAAGTACATACAACGTTAGGAGCCCAACGTACACCCGAAATTACAGGCATGTCAAAATACTGCTGGTATCTTTCGACAAACCGTGGTGAAATTGATCTTCTGCTGGGCGTTATTATAAACTTGCTACAAGCGCAGCAAAATATGTTAATATTATTCGCTTGAATTGCAAAACAGATCACGATACTCCGGTACACAAAAACAAAACTTATTTGACGTTTTACATGTGTGGATTTGATGCAATGTGCAGTGATATGAGCAGAGCAAGGTGTGGTGACATCATAAAGTTTCATCATTACAGAGTCCTTCTTTTAGTTCCAGAACTCTAGTGAAATATTTTATTTGGAAAATCATCAAAATGAGATATAAAACGTTAAGATAACATTTCCAAATGTTCATGAAAAATGTTATCCCAGAAGTTTTCTACAATATACAATATACATTTCAACAACAGCACAATTATAATCTTAACATCTCATCACATCCCAAAGTTGTTTACTGTAAATTTCCATGGATTTTAGATTTATACGGGGGTATTCCTATTGGAAAAATCACCCGAACGAGGGGTAAGATAGCGAGATATCGTTTTCAAATATTTTAGGAAAGTGTTTCTCTAGTCACTTCCTACAAAACACTATCAGACGACAATGTCATAAAATACTCTAGATAAGCAGTATACGACCATCATCGGGACAACATACAAAAATTCATAAAGATGGCATTACCAAAAAATTAGGACGTGTTAGGATATAAGTATGTTCTAGGATTTTACTAAGGGGATAACAAGAGAGTAAAATATGGTAAATTTTCTCAGTCCTAGAAAGTTAAGTTATTCTTATAACTAGGCAAGACCAATAATATTTTTAAATTGAATAAAATAACATAACAATAAAATAAGATTAAAATCATCGCATTTAGAGTGTTTTCATTCTTTTGGGATATTAACATAATTACTTTATGGAAATTTCAACATACCAGCACATATTATGATTTTTCACAGTGAATTTACATGAATTATAGACTTTTAGGAGGGTACTCAATTTAAAACTCACCCAAACGAGGGGTAAGACAACGAGATATCGTTTTCAAATGTTCAAAAAAAAAATGTTCCTTAAGTCATTTTCTACAAAAACACTATAAGGGACAGCCGTATGGGGTTGTACGCAATGGTGACGCAGGACTACGTGGTGTTATATAATAAATCTTATTTTTTAACTGCAGTAGGAGCTTGTGTTTTGTGTAGGAATATGAATTTGAGCGGGGTTCTCTCTGTTTATACTTTTTAGTATAACGTGCATGGCATAGATGGCGACTCAGCGACTCACGAAAAGCTACTGATTCCGATCAATAGCGGTGTGGCTTCTTCCTCCTTCTATGGATGCTCATGTGGGCTGCAGCTTGCTGCTTGCAGACAGCCTTTCGTTGTGTACTGGAGAACACCACCAATCACCACGCGGTGATTGAATAAACATCGTTTGGTGAGACCGGATGGAATTCAACTTCGATATCTGTGTTAGGAAAATCGCTTTTCGCAGTCAATCGGTGATAATTTTAATTATCATAGAAACAATTTCACATTCGTGCAATTTTCAATAGTGACATTTTGAAAAATGATTAACTCTTTAATTTGAAAGATGCGTAGAAATATTTCTCATCGATTTTTGATAAAATTATTGAAATTGGTCCAGGGGCAGCTGAGTTATTAACGTTCAAAGTCTTTCAAAATGTTGTTACATGTTCCATTTTCGGTTTTCATAAAGTGTACCCCAATAAAGAAATCACAGACGTAGTCCTACGTCAAAAACTCTTGCAAGGCATTGTCGTAAAACGCTTTAGTTAGGCAGTATACGACCGACATCGGGACAACATACCACAATTCATAAAGAGGGCGGTACCAAAAAATTAGGACGTATTAGGGTATAAGTTTGTTCGAGACTTTTACTCAGGGGACCACGAGAAAGTCAAAGTGAATTTTCTCAGTCCTAGAAAGTCTTGTTGCACAGTGTAATTAATGCCTTCGCGGTAAAATATAGAAGTGAATCGAAATCTGATCAATTGAATTTAACTACTATTTTATTTCGAAATTACATGCAGAACTGTATGCCAACTGATATAAACGAACATCCCTAGTTTGCCACCCTCCTTGGATGAATTCTCCGGGCAAACCCGGCCTACCACCACCAGCAAAAGTATTGGAAAACCGAAAGGGGAGAATCGGACCGCAGCCAGCGCTGCGCAGCGAAGCAAGCAGGGAGAGAACCGAAGAGAGCGAAAGAGACTTGAACGCGAACCGCTTGTTTGCTTGTTGAACCCCGGGACCGGAGTGGCTGTGGACGTTGAATGTGGATGGGTCACTTATTAGTTGCGAGTTTAAGCTGGAAGCGTTGCGACCGTCCGTGTATTTCGCTATTTTGTTTCGACCAAGACCAAGGTGCTGTATCGAGAAGAGTGCTATACCTACAAGTTTCTCGTTTGTTTGGTGGTTAGGTCATTTCTCTGTTGATCCGAAGAATAGATAAAGGTGCATTCCAAAGGTGCGAATAGAATATTGTCCGCAAATAATAAACGGTGGGTGTCAATCGAATTTTCAGTGCTTTCGGCGAAATATTCGCAACTACTTCCAGCAACGAAGGTCTGCCGTCTCGATCGATTAGGATTAGTTGGTGGTTTAAAAAGAAGTAAAACCCTCGCCAGGGAGTTTCGGTCGGAAAATAGGTGCCTATTTATGAGATTTTGTTCAATTCTGTGGTGGAAAGTGGAAAGGAGTGTAACAACCGCCTGAGAGCCATTCTGGTGATATTACAATTAGAAAATCAAGAGCAGGCAGAAGTGGAAAAAACGTTGAAGTGTTTCCTAATAGCAGCCCAAATACAAAAGAAGAAGCTGTTTTACCTTGTTGTTCCAAGTGCAAGGGGGAAGAGGGAGATTCCCCTAAGTGTGTGATAAAGCAGAAAAGAAGAATAAACGCTGTGCCCAACATACATACGAAGGTGTGTAGCATCCATCCATACTTCTACGTAGCTGCCTACATCTCGGGCAGAAGCGCTATTTTGGAGTTGCTCGACGAGTTCGTCCGTTCCGAGCCAGTGATCTCTGAGGAAAGGCAAAAAAGCATCAACCAAGTCTCATCGTCACCAGCACCGACCGCACGTCGACTGTTGTTCTTGATGTTGTGTTGTTGCTTAATGCAAAGAGGAGCATAAGCGGTGGTTCGGAATTAATGAACGTGTAGTAGCAGAACAAGTTGTGGTGGATTCCTCTGTTGTTGGCTGCCTTTGGGTTCGTTAGTAGGCCTACAATCGAATCGCGCACTCTTGCCGGCTGACAGGCAAAGAAGGGAGGAATCTTTTCTCCCGTGTGTAACTTAGCACCAGAACCGGCTGGCTTGACTTGGTTAGTTGGGTTGGAAGGTACGTGCTAGGGGAGGACGCGCAGCTGCTGCAGCTGAAGCGGCAGGCAGAAGCAACAGAAGCCGAGTGTGGCTCATGGTTCTGAGGTAAGAAAGAGACACACATCACAACAATAATAATATGTACTCGATTGCAACATTATACTAGGAGAGCGGTTTACTAGGTAGAGTTTTGTTAGCTTCCTTCGAGTAGCTACATGCAGACAAGCTTCAGCGCTTGCGGCTTTCAGAATTCAGGTTCTTTATGTTGTTGAGGTAGAGCATTGCCGATGCTGAGGATGTATTTTCTATGTGGTTATGAATGTGCTTGCAGTTTTGCAGGTACTTTTTTTTCTAATGAGAAAATTACTAGCTTACATTGGAATGTGACTCACAGAACATACGAACCAAACAAGGGAAATACTCAGCTATTCAGACTCATCATATAACGTTTAGCATAGCATATGGGTCATTCCAGCTCAAGTGTATACAAATTTGTGGTCAACCAAATTTTGCCGAAATGCTAATTTTGATATTCTAAGAAAACGCCTTTTTGGGATTTGTTCGAAAGTGCTTGCTTCCCTTTGGGCTACAACCGTGGATTTTTGAGATTTTTAGATATGATAATATTTTTCAATAGATATTACTCCGCAATCAAACAAATTCTTTGTGTTCTTGACCCACCATTTTGAAGGGTGTATAATGTAGAATCAAATAGAATAATCAGAATTTTATTTGTAAATTTCAAACTACAGTAAAGAGCCAGGGTTTTTGCAAGGTATCGCAAATAACAAAAAATGCCTGTTTATCATACCGCACGAGATTAAATGTTTTTCAAGATATTGACCTGAAGATTCCTCCACATATGTGTTCTGTAAAGAACATGCTTCGAACATATGGTTTATGAGATAAGGCTAGATTTTTTTTCCTCGATTTGTTTTCCGTCGATCTTGCTTTTCGTGCTGAGCACCAATGCTACCGACGCCAGGGAGGCAGCTCCCACACCTGGGCCCTACCTATGCAAGAGCATTGGCCTTTTCAACTGGGGTTATGAGTAGGGGTGGATAGATCACCTTTTCGTGGTACGTTACGGGATGTAAGATCTACCACCGCTTCCTAGTCCTGACTACTTCAAACTAGGGGAACAGGATTTTTCAGTAATCCAAGGAACACATCTTAGTCCTTGTTACTTGCTATGCCTTGTTGATAGTGACAAGACTCAGCTTTGTCCACCGAGGATGATGTTGAAACAAGGAAAAAATGAGTTAGCTAGTCTTCATCTATGTGATTCCTAATCTTCTATTCGTTGTTCCCTAGTTTGAAGTGGTTTAGACTAGGGTTCTGATGCATGGTTATTATCAGTGTCATTCCTTAATTTTGTTGCTAAGTAATCTAATTTTGACTGACAAAGGGGCGCGCCTTTGGAGGGTGTTTCAACACTCCGAAGGGTATAAATAGCGAGACCTTTCAAGTAGAGTCGGATCCTTGCGATAAATGCAAGAGTGGCAACTGTAAAAAATCGAATACTTCATCATTTATCAGTAGTGATGGAGTAATACGACATGCGCTAAACTAAGGACACGGGATATATACTACAATAGATCAATTTACTGGTCGCAGCAGTGTTAGGTCCCGAACAGAGGAAAAAAGGGGTGGGTCCAAGTTCTGGTCAACAGAGGAAAGCGGAGGGATCGGTCTCGACTTATTTTTCAAAATTTTGGTCATTTTCCAAAATGATTTTGCACAATCTGGGAGAGAGCGAATCTTGTTGGCAAAATCGTTATTTCTGAGTTCCACCATCCTGGCCTGGATAATTTTGGTTAGCCTATTAACATTGGTCTTCAAGTGGGGCAGCCCAGAACGCTGGAACTGCCTACGAATGGTGTTACGGAGCCTGATGAGATCTTTGGTTGGGCTGTCAAGGTTCAGAGTATGAGCTGGTACGTGTTGCTCCCTGGCGCGGGATATCGCCTCTTCGATGGTTTGCAGACACTGATCGACTTCTTCGATCGACTCCGGTAGGACGTCGTAGTCGATTGCTGTGTCTACACAGCGTTGGTACTGCTGCCAGTTGACACGATGGTTATTTCGCCGGGAAACTGGAAACCTATTGGCCGAGGAACCTACTCCGTTCCTGATAGACGATACGTTGAGAGATATTATCGCCAATGTTGCTGATGGTGGCATGAGCTCCGGATCGACTCAACCGGGTGGGAGTGTCCGGACAAAGGATGTTGTAATGGGCTTCCTGCAGATCGTTGTACAAGATTGTGCCGTTCTGGTTTCGCCGACTAGCCCCAGGTTTGATGCTTGGCGTTCAGGTCGCCAGCGATGATGAAATTTTACCGCCGTCGTGTTAGCTTGATGATGTCTCTTCGGAGGCCTGCGGCCGAGCCGTCCCTAATGTTGGTTTGCTTGGGGCAGTAGACCGCGATGATGGTGATTGGACCAAGCGATGTGCTCACCTCAACTCCGATGGCTTCGATAATTTTCAGCTGGAAGCTTGGTAGTAGCCGTTCCGTAGTAGCCGTGTTCCGTCTCGCAGCGATGGCCACTCCGCCTCCCCCGGAGCTGGTGCAGTCAAGCCTTACGAGCCGAAAGTCGGGAAGGAAGAAGTTCAGCTCGGGCTTCAAGTGAGTCTCGGTGATGACGGCTATGTCGATGTGCCGTTCGTTGAGAAAGTCAACAAACTCGATGTTTTTGCTCTTCAAGGAGCAAGCATTCCAATTTACGATCTTGATGTCTTTACGGTCCATACTTAGTGACAAGGGACAGGGCAGCGTGTAGCTGTTCAGATCGAGTCTTGCATGTGTGCATGCTGATGACTTTGGCCACGAGTGTCACAAGTTCCTCCTAGGTGAACGGAGAATCGTCGACAGGCTCACCTGAGACAGCACCAGCGTATGATAAACCAGGGGCGGTGGATGAACCTGGAATTGGCTGGGCCGCAGCAGCGTGACGATGCTGAACTTTCCGACTGTTGGGAATCATTTGGATACTCGCAGGATTGGCTTGTTGGTTGTTGAGCGGAAGCGGGGCTAGGTTCGGAACATGTCGACGGGGCTGGAGAGCTGGGCACTGGACTTCCGTGAGTACAGGAGGCGAACGATGATTACGGAGGCGACCGAGCTGGTTGTTGATTGTGGCCTTCCGACGGATATTAATGAACTCCACTCGCTTGGGACATCCGCGATTGGAGGCTTGGTTGTTTCCACCGCAGTTGACACACGTTGGCTCGATGTCATCGACTTGCTCACAGGACGCAGTTGAGTGGGTTGCAGCACACTTGCCGCAGTTAGTCTTCATGTGGCAGTTTTTGGTGCCATGGCCATATGAGAGGCAGTTCATACACTGCGTAACATCACGATGTTGGGATTTGTAATGCTCCCAACTGATGATGACCTGAAACAGGTCCCGGATTTTGGAAATGCACCAGGAACAACTGTTCACGGAAGCTGGTGTTGTGGTTGGGACGCCGGTTCATCGGGTACACTGCCTCAGGCTTGAGCCCAAACCACTCCAGCTCGGATTTCACCGCAGTCGCCTTGAACGACGGTAATCCACGCAAAACCACCTTCAGTGGCTTGCTCGATGGCAGATCATGCGTGAAGAAGACCACGTTATTGTCCTTCAGGAAACATCCTATTTGTTTGCACTCCTCCAGGCTGGAGCACATGATTTTGGTACCGATGCTGCAAAGCTTGAAGCGAGGCAGCAGCTTGTGTCGGCACCCAGCTTGGCAACATCCTTCACCGGTGTGAAAAGCGGGGGAATTCGCTCTCTTCTTGCAATGGGAGCGGCGTCACCATCGCCATTTTTATCCGAGAGTACTGCATACTGGTTGGCTTGCAGTACCCGTTTTCCGGCGTCATCATGCGACGCGCTGGGCTTGATTAGCACCTTCTTTGAAGGGCCCGCTGCTGACTCATTGGCACGTTTACGCACCATTTGTTTCGTGTTTGCAAGCGCAAGTAAACTTGTCAGAACGCGAGAAGGTGGTGACACTTCCACGGCGTAACGCGACAGCACAAAACGAAACAAAATCGAATCGAGAACTCGAGCGAAAATACGGACTGAACAGCTCGACAGTCGAGCAAAGTTTTTGACGAGCAGAACACTTTCTCCTTCACTATATGTATTTTCACGTCACTCTTAGTATACATTATTTTTCCAAAGTATTTCCACGAATCACTTGAAAGGTTTTTTCCTCTCGAAGTATCAATCGACAGAAAATTCAAAGGAATTTTATTTTAATTCAAATTCAACATCACGGAAGTCTTCGTGAATGGAAAACAACACATTAAAAATCAAACGCGTAACTGAGACGAGACCGATACGCAGGATCTATAGGTGAGACAGAACGATCATCCGGTGTTCTCGTCGGATCGAGAGAAAGAAAGAGTCGGCTAGTTTCCTTCTGCCTCATCGATGATCTCGCCGTTCTCGCTCATCGAGACGAAACCAGTGAACTGAGATTTTTGACGTTTGATCAGCGCACCAAAACACTATCTCGAACAAGTACGAGCAGGAGGACAAATAATGATTCATCCCTGTTTGCTAGATACACAGAGAAAAAAATACCCTTAATTTAAGTTCTTTTTACTTAATTTTGGGTAATTTTAAGTTTTGCATCCCTCTCTCACTTTTTGTTGTTGTCAAAAACGGAACGAGAGATTCGACTTTCTCATGACTATCGTTCAATAAGCTACTAGTGAGTATATGAGATATTCTCAAATTTGAGTAAATTGAACATAATTTTGGGTAGAAAATACTCATGATTAAGTAATCATTTTTGCCGTAGTTAAATGCAAACTACTATAAGCGGTTTACTGAAAATTAGCTTATTGAACAGAACATGGGAGATGAGTGAAAAAAAAAACTTAATTTTGGGTAATTTTTCGGTTTTGTGTAGAGAAAGTGCGAAAAAACGTCAAAAAACTAAATGACGCTAAATCGCTGAGACAATACGGACACAATAGGAGACAATACGGGGGCGAAAACGAACCACTTTTCTGTCTAACGCGAACCAGCTCGTGATTGGCCGATTTGAAGTGCGTAAGATAGAGATAGAGATAGACATAGGTAGAGACAGAGATAGAGATAGATAT